CCCCTCTTCTCTTTTCTTTTTGAGTGACCATGTATCTTTTGCATACCACTATATATCTAGTGCCTATCATTTGGAGGCACTCAATATGTGTTTAGGAAATACATTTCTCTTTTAAATGCTAAATATCACAAAAGAAAGTAAATACAAAATACGACACAAATGCATTCCAGGGCTTCCCAACATTTTTTCACTTTGTGGCATAGACAGAAAATAATATTTATAAAGCATATTAAAGTAAAACAAATGAAGCTGCTCAAGCATGGAGGTGACCCTCCCAGGCTACTCGGCATGCCCAACATTGACTGGCTTCCCCGAAAGCTGAAAGCATCATATCAACACACCTGTGACTCAAGTGCAAAAGTACATGTTTAGAAATCTCTGTACTTTTCAAATAGTTCCTTATGCATAGTGCTTGAGAAATAACTAATCTTATGGAAATGAATTACCAACTGAGTTGTTATTCACATACTCTCAAAATAGGTATATAGTTTGATAAATATTAGCTATTAACCCAGAAAGGAATTAAATCACTACAAGGTTAAGCTCAATAATATGACAACTGTAATACTATGCAATCACTCACCTTGTAGGGCAAAAAGAGAACTTGCATCTGTAGCTGTCTCAGACGGGGCTTTTGTTATTGGTCTTAAGTATGATCTATAACCTTTTAAAATAGAGGCCATGAAACACAAAAACGCCTCTTGGATTTCCAAATCTATCATGTGCAACCTCTTTCCAGCATTAAAATCATAATCATTCATTGCTAAGTCCATTAGTCCATCATCTCTTGGTCTCTGCTGCACTGTGAAGAAATACAGTGTTAGTGTTTTGTCCAAACAGTCAAAACTAATGTTCATAGTTTTATCAATATAAACTTGCTGTAGCCTTGGCTGGGCTTGCTCAGTGGTTAGAGCATTGGCTCTTGGACTGAAGGGTCCTGGGATCAATTCCAGCCAACAGCACGTACCTCAGCTGCAGGCTCGATCCCTGGCCCTGGCCGGGGTGCATGCGGGAGGCAACCAATCGATGTGTCTCTCTCACATTGATGTTTTTCTCTCTCTCTGTCTTTCCTTTCCACTCTCTCCGAAAAGCAATGGAAAAAATATCCTCTGGTGAGGATTAAATAAATAAATAAATAAACTTATTGTATATGTATGTCATTATGCTGTACATCTTAAACTTATATAGTTCTGTATGTCAATTATATCTCAATAAAATTGAAAGAAAAAAATAAATTTGTTGTTTTCAAAAGGGCTCAAGCTGACCTCAACCTTTGTTTATATAACTTCGTAATATATAAATCCTAAAAAAGCTTGCCATATCATTTTTTAGGCTCTGCTGAGTATATTTTATTTAAATTAAACATAAAATAATCCCTGTTTATCTGACTACAGTCAGAGAAAATGTTCATGTTATGAAATAACTATATGTAGATTAATGAATGAAGATCATAACAACCATAGCAACTGGACACAGGGTTAAATGCAATAGTCCTTCGTTTCCTCTTTTTTTTAAAAAAAATATAAGTGCTTATAGGAGGAACATTCTAGGATGAAAATGTGAAAATCAACTCTTGTAATTCAATGCTAAAGTCATTGGGTAGTAAAAGAATAACTTTACTGCTGCTCTCTCCATAATGCTGGCATTATTGGAATAAACGCTCATACATGATTTTAAAAAAAGAATAACTTTGTAGTAGAGAAGAAGCCTGGTAGACACCTAATCAAGTGATCAAAGTCAACATCTTCATCAATAATGGGACAAACTGATATAGTGTTCAATCTGATAAGGATGCTATGAAAGGAACAGCGTTACTTCTGCAATATTCCTGTAAAATATGCATAATCTGTACTCGTCATGAAGACATTCAGTCAAACCCACATCATAGACCATTCTATAATAGTAAGTATCATCTTCAAAAATGTCAAGAAAATGAAGAAAAAATTGAACTGTTTAGAGAAAAGGACAACTAAAGAGATCTGAAACTAAATACATCTGATTTGGAAATGAATTCTTTTGCTATAAAGAACATTACATATTTTAACTAGAAAAATTCAAATCTGGTCTGAGGATAAGGATGGCAGTAATGCTGAATGTTAATTTCCTGATTTTCATGGTTATATTATAGTGATATAGGAGAATGTACTTGTTGGTAGGAAATACATTCCATCTGGAGGTGATGGGGCATCTATTCTCAAAGGGTCAGGAGAAAAGTTTGTGATTGTTTCAAAATTTAAAGACTTTTTAAAATTTGAGGAATAAATCATCTTAGCAAGTTTTTTTGAGTTATTATTGTCTAAAAAAGTTGTATTAAAAAGAATGTGGGCATTGGAACAGAAGGCCTAGGTTTTAATCATTAGCTTCAACTGTATGTATGACCCCTAAGAAAGTACTTTTTACCTCTCTCAGCCTTATTATCCTCACCTCATAGTTGTAAAAATAAAAGAATGTATGTGAAAGTTCTCTGAAGCTATACAGTGTTATACAATCCTGAACTATCAGTATTGTTTAAAAGTCTGTAGTTTTAAGCTTTAAGATTCTGCCCTTTAATAGAGCTAAATGAGCTATTTCACTGATTTTAATAATATTTAAATATTGCTACAAAAGTTGCTAGACTTCGCAGCTATTCAAAAGAAGTGCATGCACTTTTAGAAAGCAATTAACTAGGCAGTTTAAATAAAATTCCACACATAATTTATTTGTTCCATAAAATAAAATTTTATTCATTTGATGTCATTTTTTAAATACCCCAATATTTGTGAGCCACATCCAAATTATCTCGTCATGAGGCTTACTTTGTAAACATTGTCTTTCGTGTCCACTTCCAAGTATACTACAGGTACCTTGAACCCTCAAAGATATAAGCCACCTCCTATGTTTATATTTCACCTACTACATAAATGAGAACCTCAAATATTGCGACACAATTAGTGACCATTTTTCATACAATAAGTATTAAATTATGGGCCCTGAATGACTGTTATAAAATAACAAGAGGATTAGATAAATGAAGATTTAGTTCTCCTTAGTAATTCTGGATCACCATCAAGATATTCTTACATAAGCTTTTTACTGAAATATTCCATATCCCAATCAATTTTCTTTTTCTTTTTTTTTTAAAAAAAAATCTTTATTGATTTCAGAGAGAGGAAAGGAGAGAGAGATAGATAGAAACATCAATGATGAGAGTCATTGGTTGGCTGCCTCCTACAGGCCCCCGACTGGGGATTGAGCCTGAAGCCCAGGCATGTGCCCTGGCTGGGAATCGAACCCCGATCGCCTGGATCATAGGTCGACGCTCAACCGCTGAGCCATGCCTGGCCAGGCCCAATCAATTTTCATTTTGATTAATTTCCTAATGCTTTCAGCAAGCTTCTATTTTCAAATTATTTGAGGAAAGCACAGTATTAAGATCCACTGCAGGTGAAAAGTATATGACCTAGCTCTCAACCTACTGTAAATCAGCATTTTCTAATGTAATTTAAACCATCCATATTAGATTTTCAAAACTAACTTTCTGTTCCATGTATGAAGAAAAGATACAAGTGGAAATGCTTATTTTTTCAATGGTATTTCAGTAACAGTAAAATTAAAGGAAACAACCACCTTAACCTCTTTTTGAATTTTATTATTCTAAAATGGTTCTATAAAATGTGGTATCAAAAATAAATTTTATAAACCTCCCATTCAACTTCTAACAAATTTTACCTATATGCTCATTTGTCTTTAAGATTGTAAAAACACTTTCCTTTAGATAAACACTATCGTTTTACAAGTACAGCAAAGTAATGAGTCCTTTTCTCAGATTAAATTACTTTAACTAGGTTAGACACTTACATTTTGCCAATTGCTGGTGCAAATTATTCAGTGTGTTCATCAGATTTTTACATGGTTTCTTTGGAAGTATCTTCCAGGCTACATTTTTCTTGTCACCGGTTCTGAGATTAAATGGCAAAAATAATATATTTGTTAGATGAACCCTGTGGGGGGTGGGGAGGAAAGGGGAAGTGTATACTTGATACATATCAAAAAGGAAAAGAGAAAACACATTGAACAAAAAATAAAACACTTAACAAAATATTCTAGTTAACAGGAGAAAAATATTACTGGGGTAAATTGTAATGCTCAATATTAAAAATTAATTTATATGAGGATGAAACCTTGCATTAAATATAGCTCAAAAATTTGTAATCATATCGGTACTGAGCACATTCCACATTAATTAGAATCATGCCAATCACTACCAAACTTAATGTGGTGGTCATTACTCTTAAACTCCATTTAAGAGTCTTTAGACGGCTAAATACTGGGAAAATCGTACTGTGTGGATTTTGTTGTTGTTGTAGATTGAAAATAGAGCACTGTAGAAAACTTTCAATGAGCTTATCAAAACACTTTGTCATATTTAAATATTGTTTTTTAGTTTCCTAGAAGAAAAATTATTTTGTTTCCTTCAGAAAAGAAATAATCTATAATATTAAATTAATTGAATAAACTACAACAGTCCAAAATAGTTTTATAACTACAAAAGAGGATATGTGTTTGAAAGTGCTATCTTGGTTTCTATGACAAACTCCTATAATCTCCATTACAACTTTGACAACACAGTTAGTTGCTCTTTAAACTACATATGGGGTAGGAGAAGAAAAAAGCACGGTGCTAAAACACCATAAAGGTTTTGGACTTAACTATAGCTTTGTTTATTCCATTCTTTATTAAATCTTTTTTTTTTTTTTTTGTATTTCAACAGCAATGAATACTCATTTTAGAAATTTTGAAAAAGGTACAGAAAAAAGAGAAGAAAAGCACATCTACCACTCATGTTCTAATGACCAAAGACAACAACATAGCACAGGTGTGTAGTGAAACTTGCTGAACTTTTTTTTTCAATGTTCCCTAAACTTCCCACAGAACAAAAAGGGCAAATATCACTTTGAAAACTAAACAAAGGAAAAAGAGTGGACGGGAAAGCTTAAGCTGACAAAGAACAACTGTCTTGGAATCTATCCTATCTTTTCACAGATGAGAATAAAAATACAGATAGGGCAGGGTAAAATTACAGGTGTCCTGCTGGAAAGGTTTTATTTCATTTATAATGTGACTAGGAGCATAGAATCCTACATTGCAGTGAGAACACAACACAGAAACACTATTCGCGTTATTTTCTTGATAAAGCACTCCCACTGCGCCTTATCATTCACTGTATGCATGCCTGCCTTCTGCCTTGTCAGACTACATTACAAGCAACTTAAGAAAAGGGAGTGTGCTTGGTTTTCCTTTTTATTCCGTGCCTAGCAAAACAAGGTACTCAAGACATGTCTGCCATACAAATGAATGAAAAATATCACTTCATTACATCTAATTATTTATTCAAGTAATTAATTTCCTTCTCTAACCCTTGATAGCTTCACTTTAAAACTTGGCTGAGTAGGACAGTTTTATTTAGTACCTGAGTTTGGATCCATGATAGCCTTCTGCATTTGTATTCATGGTAACATCATTTATGAGGTAATTATAACATAAATAGTTAGCTGATCATTAGTGATACATGTATTAGTTTGGAGTCACACAGTGATGGTTTCAAAATCCAGTCTGGCCAGTATAAGTTGTGTGCCTTTTGATAAATTACTTAAAAATCTAAGCTTTGGTTTTCTTATCTGTCACAGGGTTAATAAAAACTACCTCACAAAATAAAGAGAATAGATAACTTAGGCTATGCATACAGCTTTATGCCTAGCACATATCAGATTCTAATTTCCCTTTCTTCAGAAATTTCTTGACATTCATAATACACTCTGTATTATATGTATCTAAGAGTCAGTTAGAGAGGGAAAAGGAAACCAAAAATTCCATATTCAGAATTTGTTTTTCTTTCAAATTTTAGGTCAAGGCTCCAGAAATTCTGGGTAAAGGAAGGTAGGAAGCTGTTAGTATACTAGTTTAGTCTTCCCACAGATTTGTAATGATGATAATATCAAGAAGGAATAATACTAATGAGTGCAAAGACTCATGTTTCTTTTATTCTTTAACTCATTAGTGATCAAAACAGAAAGATAAAATAATTAAAAATTCTGTATCCCTGGCCAGTGCGGCTCAGTTGGTTGGAGCATCTTCCCATGCACCAAAAGGTTGCCGGTTCGGTTTTCAGTCAGGGCACATACCTAGGTTGGGACACATTCAGGAGACAACCAATTGATGTTTCCCTCTCACATCAATGTTTCTCTTTCTTTCTCCTTCCCTCTCTCTCTAAAATCAATGGAAACATATCCTTGGGTGAGAATTAAAAAAAAATTCTTTTAACAAATTGAGGGAAAGTATAAAAGTAGGGAAATGTAATTTATTACCATAATAACCTTAGGATATACTCATTTACCACCCTTAATTTCAATTTTTGAAAACATTATGTCATGTAACATTAACAACTGGCAAAGAAAAGAGATACTACTTTAATATTTAAAGAATTAAATATTCCTGGTAAAGAATCTTTGACTCTTTTGATCCCATACATAAAATGGTTTTTATGCACAAAGTACATGCTATATTTTCTTGGTTAGGCTTTCTCTGAATAAAAGCTTTTGACAGCTTTTATAAAGCATACATGTTTTATAGCAGAAAATTATTTTTTTGCTAAATTTTTCTGATGATTTAAATATTTGAAATTTTGACATATAACAAAACTAGAATGTTAAGATTTCAGAATTAAATAAAAAAGCTTTAATATAACACGTGCATATTTAAAAACCTATTTCACAAATACATATTTAAGCTGTAAAAGGCATACTAGCTTTTGGGCTTTACTGATAGACTAACTTGTAGTTATTTTAAGCATGTCCTGTGGATTCAATATGGTCACTGCATCAATTTCCTCTTTCCTGAATAGCATAAGTATGATTAAACTGAAAATAAGGGACACAAGAGAAACACTTAATTATAAAGAAGCTGTAAGTATATAGCTCCAGTAGTACAACTTAAATATTATTCCAATAAAAGAGAGAAGCTTATAAAATCCTTATACTCCTACGGTATAAAAGTAAAAAAAAAAAGGTATAATTTAAAAGTTATTTAATGACAGAGGGGAGGGAGGTGAGGGGGACTGGATAAAGGAAGGTGAAGGGATTAGCTAAAGAATATATACCCATAGCCTGTGAACACAGCCAATAGTGTGGTGAGGGCCAAGGGACGGGGGTTGGAGGCTGGGTGGAAGTGGGCAGAGGGGGAAGAAAATGAGGGACATCTGCAACATTGTTAACAATAAAAATTTTTTTACTTATTTAAAAATTTTATTTATTTATTTATTTATTTATTTATTTATTTATTTATTTATTTATTTATTTAAAACATATCTTTATTGATTTCAGAGACAGGAAAGGAAGGGGAGAGAGAGAGATAGAAACATCAATGATGAGAGAGTCATTGATCCGCTGCCTAGCCCTCAACCCGGGCATGTGCCCTGACCGGGAATCGAACCCCGATCTCCTGGATCCTAGGTCGATGCTCAACCGCTGAGCCATGCCCGGCCGGGCCAAAAATTTTAAAACATTACATTAATTTTGATATGAAGTATCAGTATTCTAAATAGCATTACACTACACTAGATATAGTATTTCAATTCAAGTTGTGTTGTAAACAAAGAACAGTATTTCACTTTGTGTTTTACCCATATTCATCTGACTAAAGGGAAATAACCTTTTTCTATTTCTAACCTCAATTTTCCTGTTAAATTTCTAGGTAAACATAAGATTATAATGTTTCTTAAATATTTAAAAAGCTAAGGATGAGGGCTACATTTTCTTTCCAATAAAACCTTAGCCAATGCTCTAAATCTATCCTATTCAAGTATAGTAATTGCTGATTCAAAGATGGTGATAATCCCAAAAACAAAAACAATATAGCCAAAGGGAAATTCTAATAAGCTTTCATAAAATAAACAATTACATACACAGATTATGAAGTAAATTATTGGGTGTAGAATCACTAAAATGTACTTACTGAGAAATGGTGTTGGTATCTAGGTCAACACAACTAACATCTGGTGGAGGGTCATAGAGATCAAAGTATCTTGAATCAATTCCTACTATGAATGGACATGGTGCACTCAAGACATCGGCCAAGGCCAGTGGGCAGAGAGGAACATATGGGCATGGCCAGTGGAAAGGGAATATCATCTTGGATAAACAAAAGAATATTGGAGAATATTTAGCTGCTTGACATTGAAACATAATTTATCAGCATGAACAAAAAAATTGTCTTTTAAACATTTATACCTAAAGTCTAATGCTTAAAAATGAATTAAATAATTATAACCAGTGTTAATAGTCAGAAAGTTTAAATTGTTTCCACAACATAAAAATTTATTACACTTTGAATTAAAATAGCTTTAAATCATATATTTTCACAATAAGAAACTGTGATACTCACAGACACTAATGCTTCTGTCACACTAGTAAGCACAGAAGGCCGTAAGGAATGGATCAGAATCTTATGTTCTGTTACAGCAAATACCAGTAGTGTCACAGCATTTTCAGGGCCTAAATTCTGAAGTAGTGTTGAAAACTTGCCACCACTATCAATCCAAACAAAAATATGTAATTAATAAAATAAAGATCCAATAGCCTCATTACCCAAAATAATGAAGAAGAAAAAAGTTCATGGTTAGGGTAGGATTTGTATATATATTCAACTTTAAATATGATTGTTGATCTTATGTAGGGAAGACACTGCATCAGAAACACACTATAAAACAATGAAGTTTTATGAGGTTTCAAAATCATTCAAATCTTCTGCATTGTATTCAATATGGAAAATGAAAAGTCATCTGCTTTATTTTATATAGAAAGATTTACCATGTAGATAATGTCCAAACAAAGAATTTAATTTATAAGAGGGATGCTTTGATTGAAAGCAAATTCTTTAATGAGTTTTGGCTCATCTTCCACTGTAATAATAACAAAAAAAACCTACATGACTTACAGGCCTACATCCCTTAAGGTAAATACACATATTAAAACTTAGATATACGAATAGATAATCTTTCATATTGTAATGATGATAATAATATGAAATCCAGACTACCAAGTAATGATATATAAATACAAAGCAAATTCATAACCAAAACTTAGACATTCTGTATAGTAACAAAATTAATAATTCAGTAAGCCAACCAGTACTTTGTCTATATAATGCTAAATAATTGGCTTCACTGAATTAATTTTTAAAAAATAAAGCAAAACTAGTAACAAAAGTCTCTTGGAGAAATGAAAACATACGTCCACAAAAAACTTGTGCATGTTTATAGCATCATTATTCATAGTAGCCAGAAAGTCCATCAACTGATTAATGAATAAATAAAATGTGGTATATTCATATATAGAAATGTTTGTTAGAAATAAAAAGAAATGAAGTACTGATACATACTACAACATGGACGAACCTTGGAAACATTATGCTAAGTGAAAGAAGCTAAACACAAAAGGCAAAATATTATATGAGTCCATTTATATGAAATGTTCAGAATAGGTGAAATCTGTAGAGACAGAAAGCAGATCAGCTGTTGCCAAGGGTTGGGGAGGTGTGTGTGTGTTTGTCCATGTAGGGATGGGAGAAATAGGGAAGGTAAACTGCTAAAGCATACAAGGCTTCTTTTTAGAGAGATGAAAATGTTCTAAAATTGATTATAGCGATAGTTTCAGAGCTCTGTAAATATAACCAATGAATTGTACAGTTTAACTGGGTGAATTGTATAGTATGTGAAATATATACCAAAAAAGCTGTTAGCAACAAAATCCTCAGGTAATTTAGAATTATTTTTACATTGTCTCAGTCAGTATATCTAGTTTATTTTTGGCTTAAACAAAGGTTAAGAAAACACTGGTCACTCTGGGCCAAGACCTAGTGATGAAATAATCTGCAATTCTTACAAAATTAATGTCAAAGATGGCACCTAGTCACCCTTAGGAATGTGCTACAGAATAGCTTAATTATACCGTAACTATTTCTATGCTAGAGAAATTATACAGCTAATTAAATGTCAAGAAATGATACCATAGAAAAACATAATTCATAATTTCTTTGAACTTTTAAGGTGATGAAATACATTGTTCTACCCCATGGTTTAATATTTATAAATGTCTTTTTATTTTGAGGTTAAATTGAAAGTTAATTGCATCTGAATGTTCTTCATAGAATATTTAAAGCTAAAAAGAACTGTTTTCATAATCTACATACATATGTACCTATTTATGTAATTACTGATAACAAATGGATACACAAAATACCAAACAATACTATAAAACTCTTTCTTTTTTTAAGAACATTAACCTAAATATTAAGTAAATGGAATTTAGATAAAAAAAAGTTAAATGAAAAGTATTTCCATCATCATTTGAAATTCTGCTTGGGAAAGAAAGAAAATATTTGAGTGTTACTTGAGCTCACACTAAATTTAGAGAAATAAACAGAAGTGAAGTTTTACTTGCCTTAGTGGAAGAGGTGAAGAAACAGGCTGACTGAGGATCAGATTATCATGTGGTGATAACTGGAAGAAGATTCAAAATAAAGTATTTGAAATATAAAGATAAACTTTAAAACACTACTTTCTGGTAAAAACATATAGACTAATGATGATGAAGTTTCAATATATTCATTCATTAGTATAATCACTTACTAAGATGCTGAAAAATATATCTTGATTACTGACCTCTTCTGACTACTAACTCTTCCATTTTAAATCCTATATCTTTTCTTCTATTTCTCAATGTTTCCCTGATGCCATTTAAAAAAATCTGTATTGAAAGACTAATTTGTTAATTTAATACCATAAAATCAGAGTTAGCAATCCTATGGCCTCCAGGGCAAATCCACAGGCCACCTGTTTTTATGAATAGTTTATCGGAACTCATTATTTACATATTACCTCTAGCTGATTTTGTGCAATAACAACAGAGCTGAGTAGTTTCAATAGAGATCACATGGCTTGTAAACACTAAAGTATTTACTTTTTGGTCCTCAACAGGAAAAATTTGCCAACTTCTGCTACAAAACAAATCTTTTACATGAATTCAAACTGAGTTTGCTATATATATTCTGGCACTAAATACCAAAAAGACAGACAGAAATAATATGTAAATATGAAGACTGATTATAAAACTTATCAAATAGTATTTTTCTAAATATTTTATCTATATCAATATAATAATGCAATTATTTTTATCCATATTTTAAAATTTACGCAGATTTTCACAAATTTGTAAATATATATTTGCCAGATAATTTCTAATTTTGAATGATACCCTATTAAGGGCTGTGATAGATATAGTAAAGCACACACAGTGATGTTACATGAAAATATCTTAATGTAAATCACTTCATAAATGATGATTAAAGCAGAAATTTACATCTCAAAAGTACAAACAAAAAATATGAATAAAAGAGGAAAGATACAGTCAATTGAAAAAAGAGATGGGGAAAATAATTTATGTTCATTTTAAACTTCCTCCATCACAAAGATATGAGCATTCCTTCCTGCAATCTATGAAAACACACAACTTTTCCTTCCGTATATTCTAATATACTTAACTTAGAGAATAAATGCCAAAGCCACACAGAAACTTTCAAATACCTAGAACAAATTTAAGAAGATAAGTTCCTTTTTTGTGTTCAAAATGTCTACTGCCTCCTATTTAACTCTGCAACCCTTTATTTGAGAAAGAAAAATTAGTTGTCTGAGAGGCAGTTAATAAGACAATAAGGGCCCAAATTCTGAAATGAAATAGCATCTTGTTCTCTCTCAATTTCATTTGATTTTTCCTCCATTTAAAATAGTTATTCTTATGTTACATTTTGACAGATCCAATATTCATTCAACAGGGCACTTATAGCAAGAAAGTCTTACCTGAACTAAAATCCGTGGTCTCTGAGGAGATGGAAAAGGAACTTTATGCATAAAATGAGAAATATGCCTTAAAAACAAACAAAAAAAGGCAATTGATTCCAAAGTGAGTACCATACGCTACAAAGGTCAACATGTCATCCCAAGTCCAAGTTAAGTCAAAAGCTCTGTGAACCTGTAATTTCGAAATCCCTGCTACTATGAAAACAAGTGAACAAACAACCAAAAATCATTTGTTGCATTCAAGTTGCTTCTACCTAAATCCAATTCACTTCTCATATTAATAGTTGTTCACATTCAACAACGTTCATGTTATGAATATCTCAAAAGCCATTTTACCTTCTACCTCTCCCTAAGCAGATGATATACAACATGCCAGAGGCGTGGGCATTAACAAAGAAACCAATTCATGCATCTGTAATATGCTTTTTAGTCAACTGTCATATTTTAAAAGTGAAACACCATTTAGAGTGCTCCAGAAAAATGAAAGAGTTTAACTGTTTCTAAAAGAGGAACAATATACAGACATATCTCATTTTGTTGAGCTTTGCTTTACTGCACTTTACAGATGTTGTGTTTTTTATAAACTAAATACAAGACCCTCCACCAGCAAAAAGATTACAACTCGCTTTATTGCAATACTCGCTTTATTACAGTGGTCTGGAATGGAACTCACAACATCTCTGAGATGTTCCTGTACTTTCTACTAACAATAGGTTAAAAATCCTATTACATGATGGTTGTTTTTTCCCAGAAGAAAATGGATAAAAAGCTAGATTGACATGTTTTGTTTTGAACACTGGAAAAGGTAAAAGGCAAGAATAGTGAAAATCTTTTCTTCTTTTAGGAAAAAGTTATTTTATTTCTGCATTACTTTTCTCTTAAACATTACTTCAAAACCATCTTTGTTTTAGAGCTGGAATAATTTCAACTGGATAGAGAGCATTAAAAGAGAAATGTATTAATTTTACAAACATGTTTTGACTGCTTGCTATGTATAAGACACTGACAGACATTATGGGAATTATAAAAAAAGGCATATTATACTACCACTTTATACCATGAAGGTACTCATAACCTAAGAAAAAAAGATAAGGGGATGATTCCAGAGGACACTTTTGCTTGAATTATCTGAAGTAATTAGAACAGCAGAAAACAAAGTGTGATCCATGAACATCTAAAGATCTCCAAGACCCATTCACAGAGATCTGCAAGATCAAAACTAATTTTTTTAAATCCTCACCTGAGGACATGTTTATTGAGTGTGTGTGTGTGTGTGAGAAAGAGAGAGAGAGAGAGAGCGAGAGAGAGAGAGAGAGAGCACGAGCAAGGGGGGGGTACCTTGATGTGAGAGAGAAACATCACTTGGTTGCCTCCCGTACAGGTGCCCCAACAGGGGATAGAATCTCAACATTTTTGGTGTATGGGACGACTCTCCAACTAACTGAGCCACCCAGCTGGAGCAAAACTATTTTTATAGTAAGATTTCATTTGCCTTTTTCACTGTGTTGATATTTGCACTAATGGAGCATCTTACTATGAATCAAGGCACCAAATTGTATTAGTAGTCACTGTATTCAGTTTCACTTAAGAATGTCTTTGATAAAACAATAAATATTATTAATTTTATTAAATTTTGTCCCTGTGGGGGCAAAATTAATTAATTTTAATTCACTATTAATTAGTTTTAAAATCCTCATCCAAGGATATGTTCTTCACTGATTCTAGAGAGGAAGAAAGGGAGAGAGAGAAACATTGACGTGAGAAAGAAACACGAATTAGCTGCCTTCCATATGCACCCTGACCAGGGATCCAACCTGCCACCTTTTTGTGTACGCGACCATGCTCCAATCAACTGAGCCACACTGGCCGGGGCTTCAGTGTACTTTAAAAAAAAATAATCTGTGATGAAAGGGGAAGTATGTATAAAGCACTTCTGCTATGCACAGCAGTACAAATGGTTGTCTTGAAAAGCACTTGTGTGACTGAGTCCACAGCAACACTTGGTCCATGCCAAAAGGTCCTTAACATTTGGTTCTATGAAAAATGTCCATGAGCATATTTGGTACATGACAAATTATTCTTGATATTTGGTCCTGTCAAAAACTTCCATGCTTAGAAAACATTCTTTGGGTTCAGATAGCCCATAACAGTTATTTATACTTTTGGTTTATAGGATTAATACATTAAAAAAATACTATCAAATTTTATTGATCTAATAATTGTCCTGTATCTGTATTGCCAATAATAACCCTTCTTGCCTCAGTAACCTAGCTGGTAGTGGCACATGGGGTAAATAGGTAGATGGGTCAATGTGGACCAAATGTCTCCATGGATGTCTTAGACAGGACCAAATGACTGCTAATCCCCATAATAAACTCCACTTGTCATGTCTGGTGCAGTAACAAAAAGGAAAATCCGAAATTTTCTGAAAAGACTATTCAAATGTCCATCTACTTATCTTTTCCACCTATTTATCTGTGTAAGGCCAAACAACCCAAACAACCTATTGCAACAGGTTAAATACAGAAGCACACATGAGAACCTACCTGTGTTCAATTAATCCAGCCATTATTTATAAAAATGTAAAGCAATGTCACTCTTCTCACTAATTTTTTTTGCAGTGGAAAATAGTTATTTAAAAAAATATATATATTTATGTTAACATGTGATGGGTTTATTATTTTAAAAAATTAATTAACATATTTTTTAAGTTTTCAGTTTTAATTTCTACTATAATAAGTATCAACAGATATGCTCAGTTTTTAAAAGTATAAAGGAGTCCTGAGACCAAAAAAATCTGTGAACTGCTGCACTGGAATACTGAGACTAAAAAAGTGCAAGGGAAAATTAAAGCCTAAGCCTGTAAAGCAAGTGTTCTTATGATAAATCTATCACTTTCCAACTGTCATTAGAGTCGGGGAATTCTGCCTAAGGAACACGAAAGAGCTTAAGTGATCGATGGTATAAAATAAACAATAGACAATGGAGATATTTAGATCTCATTTGAATATCTTACTGTATGAAACATTATTCAGTTTTAATGATCTTAAAGTGAATCACTCAATTTTTAAAAAGAATAAAGAATGCACTCATCTAATTTTTCCTTTAAATTCATGACATCTAAAAATAGTGAGGAATATTTTTAAAGGTTCATAATAAATCCAAACTACGTGTAAAATAAGAATTACAAAACTATTTTTTAAAATTCCAATTAGGATCTCCAAACTTCACAAGAACATCAAAAAATGAAACGCTTATTTTGTTAGAGATAAAGTTATTTAAAATAACATGACTGTAAAAGTATAATATAATATGCGTCTCTCATACATGGAGATAAGTTTTATCTGTCAGTTCTTCCTGGTGTGTGAGGCAGATTAGGATCATATTATGGTTTGGCTTCTCCCTAGCAGAGTGATTGTGGGCAAACAGCTCATTTTCCTGAGACTTGTATTCTCTGAAAGATCTGGATGCAATACCTACTTCAAAGGGCTTCCATGAGAAACAATTGTGATAATGTATGCGATGCAGTGCTTTGGAAATTTGCCCAATAAATTGTAGATGTTAGTTCAAACAACAAAAAAGTATAATAGAGAAATATTCCTGATTGAAACAACCAAACTTTTTCCCCCCCAAATAACTCCTGACAAATCTAGTTTCCATATAAAATTTACCAGTAAAATTCAATTACTAGTACAAATATACCACACATACTGGGAAGATCTGCCAAATTTTGAACCAAGAAGGCTTCAAACTTACTTCTCAATTGGAAGGACATGAGGTCCAGAGATGGAATAACGATACAAAAACGTCAGAAACTTCCTGAATGCATCAAAAAAAGGCCAGTGAGAAAGAAGACAGATGCACTTATTAGTGTGAACTGTTTTGGAACTATCAGACTTCCCATCTGCTGATGATGCTAAACCCAAAAGAAGTCTCTGTTTTTCTGTGAGGTTCTCCTCAAGATATGGTTCATAAAACTGAATAGCAGCACCATAGACCTGGAAAACAAGTAATATATTTACTAAATACACCTTATATAATTTATTCAAATCATATCATTAGTTAAATATTTAATAGATAAGCCAGGCCATTATAAGCCATTATACGCCTTTGAGTCAGGCAAGGTGCCAGGTACCAGGAACACAGTAGTGAACAGACATCACTCTTTGCTTTCTTGAAGTACATTAAAAATAAAATTTTAAAACTACACAAGTGTTACTCTCACATTTCCTTATATTTTTTCAAAAAGGTGTTTCAATTAAATTGCATTGGTTTCATAGACAGTGAAAGAAAGTGTATCAATAATCTCTACAAGAAGAAAATTAAAAATTATTTAGTAGACAGTAGGACAATTTTAGATAAGGAAATATAAATTCCAATTTCAGGCAATTCACTGATTTTCTCTGGATCTCAATTTCTCAATCTATAAAATGAGAATGTCAAACTAAGTAATTTCCAAGGTCCCTTCCAATTATAATAGTACATGATTCTAAAAAAGCATCACATATTTAATAATGTCTTTTGTATTATTTTCAAAGCTTCTGTATCACAGAAAATAAAGCAATGAAGGATCATCATTTAACAATTAAAAAACCTTTCACCATGTTCACAAGAAAGCATTTGGGAATATGGAAGAGAATGAAAATTTTCTGTTCCTATGTCCCTGGATATAGTTACTTTAACCAAATGAAAGAGGTACGTATAATAGATTCAATTTAACCAGTTATATTTTCCTACTGTTCCTTGCACTATATAAAACTTAAATGTAAAATGTACAAGAACTTCCCAATATAACTTGTTAAAACACGTAGTACCTTTTCAGCTGAGGCTCCAGTTAACACAAATGTAGAAAATACAGGGAGAGGGTATTTGCTATTCGATGGCCAACATTCAATAGTTGCACCCATTGGTAAACAAAATAGGGGAACAGATTCTGGGAGTGAGAATGACTCATAATCTTCTTGAGGATATCTACAAATCAGACCTATAAAAACAAAAATAAATATTAGGTCATCATCTCTTGAATTTAGGTGTTCATAATTTGAATGATGCTGAAATGCTTTATTAACACATTTCAAAGTTCAAAACATTACATATACTAGGCAGAGCAAAAGTAGGTTTACAGTTGTGAGTATGCGAAACACAGAGTTTATTCTTATATTATTATTTATTAATTAATGTATTACTTTCCATATGAACAACTGTAAACCTACTTTTGCCCCACCCTGTATGTTCATTAATCCTACTTAATGCTTCAGTAGGATTCATATAGATTTTAATCCTCAAACATATTCATATTAACTGCTTAATATTTATCAAACTTCATCCACAAAAGCTAAGTAAGGCAAACAAGAAAAGATTATTCTAAAGAAATATACATAAATACACACATATTCAAAAATTCAATTTGTGGTCACACTACCTTAAAGCACATGAATATACTATTAAAAATTTTTTTTCAATATGTTTACCTGCATATATCCATTTCACCAGTTCTCAATAACTTTTATTGGGTTTTTACACATTAAAATAGATGTCTTATAGGAGTATATACATAATTTCTAGCACAAATACAAGAAAAATACCAATAAAAATAGAAGAGTCATATATTTACAGTATCTTCAGAATAGTATCAACTCAAGCCCGGCTTCTGAATAATCCCAAATTATATGAAGATAGAGTTTCAAGTGGCCTATGATTTCATGTTAAATAGACTAGCCTAGAAAGTGGTCTAGGAATCTTCTGTTGAACACATCCTCCAGCAGAATCTCATACTGATTTTGTGAGACTAGAAATAGAAAATAGGTTCCCTGAACTTGAACAGTAAAAGCCAAGTGGAAACCATCACTAGATATGGCCTTAAAGACAAAATGATAAATTAGGAATACCAGTAGTTGGTCTGCCACTAATATCTGTGTGATTTTGAACAAATCATATACCTATAAGACTGGTTTCCTCATCTATAAAGTGAGATGAACTAGATATACTAAGGTCCAAGGCAGTTCTAAAATTCTCTAATTATGTGCTGGCCAGCTAGTAGATCCCATGAAGGTCTACAGTTAATTGTCCTCTACTCTCCCAGGTCATAAGGCTATATATAGTATAGGCTTTAAGTAGTTCAGAAGTAGTGATGAATTGTATGTAGGTCTTAAAAAAAAAAAAAAAAGAACAGAAATTAATAGTCTAGGACATGATTCTAAACCTATATTATTTAAAAGGCTGAAGCTGCTCTCTTGCAAATAAGATCAGTATGTTTGCTATTTTGAGGTTTCTGGCAATTGAAAATTTCAGCTATGTATTATAAAATCACAAATTAGTTTATAATATTTCAGATTATTATGAAATAATTACATATGAACCATAGACTTCACTAAATTTGATGTAAAAATTAAACATTAATTTAACTGGAAAATACTTTTCTCCATTTTCTACTGATTCAAAAACTTAAAGAGAACTAATTTCTACTTAATTATTTAAATCTAATGTTTAAAAATATCTCGCCTTCTTTTAATATAAATCTTCCATTAAGCATCCAATAACTGTATGGATGAAAACAAAACAGAAGCAAAAGACATGCGTTATAGTCCCAGTCCTGACACTAACACACTGTAAGACAGGTTTTATTTATTTTCTTTAATATTACTGGCCCCCATAATACATTTATATATTAAGTATTCCATGAAAATTATACTTACCAGCTTTGTAAGAGATAGTGTTAGTTTTTGCCACTGACTTTTTGTAACATAAGTATACTGCTGATCCCCACTGAATTAAAAAAAAGAAAATATCATTAATTTTAAAAGGTAATAACTTAATAAATTGGAGTCTCTTTGATCTTTCTAGTATGTATTATTTAAGATGTAAAAGATTGCTCTCTGTTAGCTATTTTCAGTTGGTTGTTTTGTGAGCATTTTATTGGAGTTATTGCCCACTTTTCTCTCAGAAGTAGAATTTAACATATTTTTTCCCTGCAACAGCAATAACATGAAAATCTGACCCCTTAAAACAAAACGAAGCCATAAAAATTTAGATTTTATGCTAAGTGAAAAACTGGGCAGAAGTGATAAACTAAGAAATATCTACTTGTGTATATGTATGTCTTCCTTTTGATTCCATAACCCCTTTCAGATACTGCCAGATTTTTCTGCAGCTCTTTATACCAACACTCGAGTAGTAATTTGCCATATCCATTTCCTTATATCCCATTCTCTCCTGAATCCATTCCAAAAAAAGTTTTAATGTTACCGTTCCTTAAAAGAACACCTTGACAACTTTAATGATGCCAAATCTAATACAGTAGTTGATTCCTAGTCTTCATTTTATTCAACCTCTCAGCAGATTTTGATACCACTAATGACTCCCTTCCTGGAACATTTTCTTTCCTTGGCTTTTCAGGCAACACACTCTCCTGGTCCCTCCCCATCAAATCTCTGGCCATCCCTCAGCCTTTTAAAAAAAATCCTCACCCAAAGATATGTTTTTATTGATTTTAGAGAGAGAAAGGAAGGGGGAGAGAGAAAGAAAATGGATGAAGAGAGAAACATCAATTGGTTGCCTCCTGCACTTGCCCCAACCAGGATTGAAACCACAACCTAGGTATATTCCCTGACCAGGAATCAACCTACAATATTTTGGTGTACGGGACGACGCTCCAACCAACTGAGCTACCTGGTGAGGGCCCTCAGTCTCCTTTGTAGCAATCATCTTTTCTCTTTTCCTGATCATTAAGTATGTTCTATTCTTTACTTTCTATAAATCAGGGGTGGGGAACGTCCAGCCAGAAGGCCATATATACAGCCCATGAAATCATTTGGTTTGGCTCTGCCAAGGCAACTGCAATTCCAGTCATCATATTAGGGATGAGTTAATTAAATGTTTGACCAAATATAGCAGGCTAATTTTTAAGTTGATAATTTTGTATGGCCCTCGAATGATGTTATAAATATCCAAATGGCCCTTGGCAGAAAAAAGGTTGACCACCCCCGCTCTAAATGATCTCATACATTTAGTCCCATGGTTTTAAATAACTGCTACTCCCAAAGGAGTCTCAATTTTCTAGTCCCAGCTGTAACTGAGATGAGGAAGACTGTGGTTAAAGCAGATTTTGGGGTGAAGAAAAGGAGTTCGTTTTTAGACATGTTAAGTTTGAAAAATTTATTAGACATCCAAGTGAAGAGTCATACAGAGCTAAGGTAACTTGGGAGACATCACCACTTGACATTAGGTGGTGACAGATATATTCATTTAGCACATTTCCTTACCTTCTTTTGGCCTCAACTCAAATGCCGCTTTATTATTTCATCACCTTATATGCAATAACAAGCCTCCCTCTACCCTTCCCAGTCCTCCCTATCACTCCTTTCTTGCTTTTCTTCCCTGCATAGCATATTGCATATTTTCTTATTTAGTATCTGCCTCTCACCACTAAAATATAAGTTCTATGATGGCAAGGGCTTTGTTTTGTTCACTACTTTATCTGTAGTACTTAAAACTGTGCCTACTATGTAGAAATGCTCAATAAATATGTGTTAAATTAGTCAGGACATGTTTGTGCACACATGATAGAGTACCTGCATAAACTAGTACATGAGGATAGAGTCATAGTACTGAGGACAGATATATGGAGAAAATAAACTTACTTAAGAAATATATGTATTTAAATATGTTCTACTGATTTTTAGAAAGAGAGGAAGGGAAAGGGGGAGAGAGAAAGAATAAAACCCCAAAAACATCTATGGGAAAGAGAAACATCTATTAGCTGCCTTCTGTACGCAGCCCAACTGGGGATTGAACCTGAAACCTGGGCATGTGCCCTTACCAGGAATTGCACCAGTGACCTTTTGGTGCACAGTATGATGCTCAACCAACTGAGCCACACTGGCCAGGGCTAAGAAATATTTTTTACATATTAAGAGGCTACTATAACAAACACCTACTTACCACCAAGATTTAACAAATGTTAACAATTTATCATATTTGCTTCAGATATTTTAATCTATAAAGAAACAAAAAATTACACTTTAGCTAAAGCCTCATCTTCTACTCCTTTCTGTCCTCCAGAGTTAACTACTAACCTAAAGCCAGTGCATTTCATTTACGTGCATTTAAAAAATTTCTACTATACAAATATACACACCTATGTGTATGTATTATTGTTTTATGCATTTTAAATTTTACATAAATAATGACATACTGAATATATGCTTTTATAGCTTAATTTTTTACTCATCAACATGTTTTTGGGAATTAGTGGAGTTGATCTAATTTCCTTTTCTGAACTACTGGATAGTATTCCATTAATAAATGAATCAGTTTATTTTACCTATTCCTCTACTGATGAACACTTAGGTTGTTTCTTTTTTTTTCTTTTGGCTATTACAAACAATGTTGCAATACACTGGCTCAACATCAAGAAATTTTTCTTGCTTTCTTAAGCATTTTTCTACTTTTTAAAATTTATTGATTATAGAGAGAGAAAGAAGAGGGAATGGGAAAGATAGATAGAGAGAGAGAGAGAGAGAGAAACATTGATCTGTTGTTCCATTTATTTATGTATTTATTGGTTGATTCTTGTGTGTGCCCTGACCTGAGATCGAATCATAACCTTGGTGTATTGGGACAACGCTCTAACCAACTGAGCTACCAAGCACAGGCATAAAACATTTTTTCTGTGTCTCCACGAGATAAACTGTTAAATCGTGCTTAGGGCATTAAATTATGCTCATTGCTGTGTTAGAATTTTGTTTTTATAAATGCTTTAGTATTTTTCTATCAAAAGAATGAATGTGTAAAAGTCAAGTGGATATTATGAATGTAAGTCAAACTGGACTTTTAGTTTATCGGGTGAGTAAAAAATTTAGAAATAAAGGGCTCTCTATTGAAGAGTCCCAACTCCAGTTCCCAATAAGCCAAATTTCGTGAAGATTAAAAAACTTTCACTGATAACCTTTGTGATGATAAAAAGGGAGCTAGCTATATGACCATTTGGATATGGTAGAAACCAAAAGGAATATTCTAAAATGAAAAATAGAAGTTCAGAGATACAATAAAAATTATAGGGCTCTGGAGGAAAATAACCATGATAGCAAAACTAAAAGAGGGTTTTCTAAATTTTTTCACATACAAGATTGAGCAAAAAAGAAAGTAGGAAGAGCATTGTTCTAAAAATACTTTAAATGTTTAACCTATAAACTATCTGTATTGTGATTTACCATGGCAAAAAAGTACTTTCAGGTGCTTTTTTTTTTTTTAGGAATTAGGTACATGATTTAATTACTTGCTTTGTTAATAACTATTTTTCTAAGTAAACTTGCTAAATCAAATACTCACATTTTTGAAAGACTGTAAAACAAGAGCCATTTGCATAAGGTATGAAAAAACACTCTCAATGAGTCAAAAACTGAGTAGAGAGTCCCAAATTTGCCAAGAGTTAAACTGTGTGACTCAAAACTCCTGGGCTACATATCCTTAACTACAGATTTTTGCATTTTGGCATCACATGACCGTTCATAAGTTCTCTTCCAGCTCTAAAATATTATACTTCTATTCTAAATCAATACAAATCCAAATAATTTAAGGCTTATAGTTCAAAGTTTAAAAATTAATAATTCTTCAAAACTCTTTCTGTACATAAGCTTAATGGTAGTGGAGAGGTGGAAGAGGCTTTTTTTAAGGCCAAAGCTATAAACTGGGTACAAAAATCACGTAGGAACTTGAGGAAAAATTCAACATACATTTTCTTATGTACATTAGATTGGGGTTTTTTTCTTCTTAATACATACATAGTACATACATACATTTAAAAGTCATCCACACATAGCCTGAATTTAGATCATCAAGGGTGTGAGCTTAGGTGGTAAAGATAAATGGTCTACAGACTAACCCTTAGGGCATTCCATTGTGTAGAGGTTAAGGAGATGGGAAGGTATCAGCAAAGGCAGAAAAGGAATGATTGATGAGGTAGGAGGAAGAGGTTGCATAGAAAAAGAATACATCTCTTCCTGCAACTGTTTTAAGAAGAAAGACGTGATCATCTATGTCAAAACCTACCGAAAATAAAATGAACAGATCATTAGATGCAACAAGAGCAATCTTGGTGGGATGGTGGAGACAAAAGTCTAACTGAAGAGTCAAGGTGAGGAAGGGGACAGAATATAATTAACTCTTTGAGACATTTTATTGTAAAGGAGAACAATGAAAGAGGGGGCAAAAGATGAAGGGGGGATAAAAGGGTCAAGTTTTGTAAAGATGGAGAAACATGGTTTGCATGCTGGAGGAAATAACCCAATAGAAAAATTGATGACTCACAAAGAAAGTAAGGAGAATTGCTAAAGTCACATCATCAAATAGGTAAGGATACAGATCTAGTGCACAAATGGAGGGAAGGGTTAACCTTGGGTAGTGCATTACTTTTGCAATAGGGGAAATTTTTTTTTTAATTAAAAAAATGTTTTTTTTGCATAACTCCTTTTGAAAGTACAACTAAAGTACTTACCTAAAAATAAAATATCCAACATCTTTAAAAACATTATTTTTAATTTAGTAATTGTGCTTTGCTGTTTTCCAAAGATTTTACATTATGGTCTTTGCATCAGTGGCTAATTTTATTAGTGCAAAAATCACTTACCATACTGTTATTGAGATTCTTGTCGACTTTGCAGAATGTGTGTGGTGGACTTTCTCCTTTACTGGGTATAATAATACATATGTCTGTGACAGCCAGTGTATTCTGAGTCATGTTTTCAGAGGCTCTTCGGTAAGTGATATAAATTTTTTGTGATGAGGTACTGCCGCTAATATTTGCAGGGCGTCCATAGGGAGTACTCTGAATAATTTCACACCCCTGTTTCAATCTTTCTTTCCAGTCATATAAAACCCTAAAAAATAAGTTAAATAAATAAGTACACAAAGCACCCTCAAATATGAAAGGTAATATTATCAGGTATCATGAATTGATCCTTAGATGTAGCAGAGATTCCAATCTTATTGCAAGTTTGAATTGCACAGTCCCATATAAAATTAGAGGATAACTGTTTTCCCTACCAACAATTTAAATAATGTAAGAAAAATTCAGATTAACCTTTGTGTTTGTAAACATAAACCACAGGATGGCAACGATTAAGCACAAAGGTACTTGTTTTAGTGTTCCATTTAATGGATCTATTTATTTATTTTTGTCTCTAAAACCAAGCATCTTCTTGAGAAAAAGCAACTTTGTATTGTGGCCAAAATTAAAATTTTACAAAAGACTCCTTAACCAGAGGGTATAGAACCTGCCTGCATACTTTTACTTCCAATACTTCCCTCAGGTTTAAGAGATAATTTTAGTCTTTAAAAGAGAAAATAACCTCAAAAGTATAGGTGAAAGACATAGGCTTTTTTCCCCTCCTCCTTCTTTACGTAGTAAAATCACAGGCTTTTCATACTGGACAAGACAGGCATCCATCCCTTAAGTCTTCTAAATACTAAAAGTACTTGGGGAAACAAAGAAAATGTCATCTTTGAATAATATAGTTTAATTCTTTCACAGAATTCACTGATTAGATTTTAAAGCTAAGTCCTTGGCATCAAAAAAAAAAAAAAAAAATTAAAGGTCTACTATATTGTGTTTTTGCTATAGAAATTGTTGTAACAGGCAATCCTTAACATCAGTCAGTATTCCCTTTTATAAAATTCCATTATATAAAGAAAATTTAGTGCCAGAAATTGGTCAAATTATTGCTTTCTAATGTAATTTTTAATTGTTCTTTTTGTCCTGGTTGTCAGCAAACAAAAAACTTTTCTTAACATTTTATTTGGAAAATTTAGAGCTAAACTGGATGCTTAATCATAGCAACTATGTTTATCCTATTGTTGGCTCAGTTGCTTATTCTTACTTCTCCTTTTGATCTTGCTCTTTTCTGTTTTGTTTTGTTTTAATCTTAAAAAAAGTCGTTGTAACAGAGAAATTACACAGATCTAAATTCAAATTCCTACCACTTGTTACTAGCTATACTATCTTAGGCAGTTACTTAATCTCTAAGCCTCATACTCCTCAGCTATAAAATTTAAAAATCTAACTCACAGGATCTTGAGAAAATTAGGTGAGAGTATAAGTAAGATTTCCAAAATAGTGCTTGGCATATAGATGCTCAATTGAAAACAAGAAAATAAAAATAGAACACAGAAAACCCCCTACTATTTATTATCACATATTCTTAAAATACATGGAATATAAATACATGTGATATGTATGATGTCTATTTTCTTTAATCAGATATTGTGCTGTTGTATGTATCTTGCATTACTATTTTTTATTTTTATATTGTTAGATGACTTTTCCTGTCTAAATGGTAAGCTTTTCTGTGGTACATTTACTCCATGGAATACTATGCAGCTATGAAAAAGAAGGATCTCTTCTCTTTAGGGCAGCATGGATGGAATTGGAGAGTATTATGCTTAGCAAAATAAGCTAGTCAGAGAAAGACAAGTATCACATGATCTCACTCATATGTGGAATATAATGAACAAAATAAACTGATAAACAAAACAGATCCAGAGACATTGAAGCATGGAACAGACTGAAGGATCTCATAGGGAAGGTGGGGGTGGGTGGCTGGGGAGAGATTAACTGAAGAACTTACATGCATAAATGCATAACCCATGGACACATACAATGGTATGGAGAAGTCCTGGGGGTGGGGTGGATGTAGGGTGGAGGGGATCAATGGGGAAAAAAGGGAGACATCTGTAATACTTTCAACAATAAAGATAAATTAAAATAAATAAATAAACTGTAAGCTTTTAAGGATACAAAATAAATATACAGAAACTGGTTGCATTTTTATATACCACTAATAAACCACCAGAAAGGGAAACTAAGAAAACAATCCCATTTACAATTCCATCAAAAAGAATAAAATATCTAGGAATAAACTTAATAAGGAGGTAAAAGACCATACTTGGGAAATAAGACACTGAAGAAAAAAACTGAAAAAGATACAAATAAGTGGAAGCATATACCACGCTTATGGATAGGAAAAATGAACATCATTATAATGTCCATACTATCCAAAGCAATCTATAGATTCAACACAATTCCTATTAAAATACCAATGGTGTATTTCACAGAACTAGAACAAATATTCCAAAATTTATATGGAACTACCTAAGACCCCAACCAGCCATAGAAATCTTGAGAAAGAACAAAGTTGGAGGTACCATGCTACCTGGTATGAAGTGATACTACAAGGCTATAGTAATCAAAACAGCATGGTACTGGCATAAAAACAGACATACAGATCAATGGAACAGAATAGAGAACCCAGAAATAAACCCATACCTACGTGGTCAATTAATACTGACAAAGGAGGTAAGAACATACACTGGGGTAAAGACAGTCTATTCAATAAATGGTATTGGGAAAATTGGACAGATATGTGCAAAAAAATGAAACTACACCACCTTCTTACATCACATACAAGAATAAACTCAAAATAGATTAAAGACTTAAATGTAGGACTTGAAACCATAAAACTCCTAGAAGAACACATAGGCAGTAAAATCTCAGACATTTCTCTTAGTAATATTTTTTTATGATATATCTCCTAGGGTAAGGGAAACAAAAGAAAAAATAAACAAATGGGACTACGTCAAACAAAAAAGTTTTTGCACAGCAACATCAACAAGATGAAATGATAACCCACTGAATTAAAGAAGATATTTGTCAATGATATATCTGATAAGGAGTTAATATCCACAATTTATAAAGAACTCATAAAACTAAATACCAAAAACCCCCAAACAATCCAATTAAAAAATGGGCGAAGGACCTGAATAGACACTTCTCCAAAGAGGACTTACAGATGGCCAATAGATATATGAAAAGATGTTCACTGTCACTAATCATCAGAGTAATGCAAATTAAAACCACAATGAGATATCACCTCACACCTGTCAAGATGGCTATCATCAATAAATCAACAAACAAGTGTTGTCAAGGATGTGGAAAAAAGGGAACCCTTGTGCACTGTTGGTGGGAAGGCGGATTGGAGCAGCCACTATGGAAAACAGTACGGAAGTTCCTCAAAAAGTTAAAAATGGAACTTCCTTATGACCCAGCAATTCTACTTCTGAGTATATATCCAAAGAAACCCAAAACACTAATTCGAAAAAAACCATGCACTTTTATGTTTATTGCAGCATTATTTACAACAGCCAAGATTTGGAAGCAACCCAAGCATCCATCAACAGGCAAATGGATAAAAAAGCTGTGGTACATATATACAATGGAATATTACTTGGTCATAAGAGAAGAATGAAACCTTAGCCCAGCAGGGCGTGGCTCAGCGGTTGAGCATCGACCTCAGATCCAGGCGATCGGGTTCGATTCCCGTTCAGGGCACATGCTGGGTTGCAGGCTTGATCCTCAGTCGGGGGCGTGCACAAGGCAGCCCACCAATGACTCTCTCATCACTGATATTTCTATCTCTCTCTCTCCCTCTCCCTTCTTCTCTCTGAAATCAATAAAGACATATTAAAAAAAAAGAAAAAAGAATGCAACCTTACCATATGCAACAGCATGGATGGACCTAGCAAGCAGGTATTATGCTAAGTAAAATCAGTCAGTCAGAGAAAGACAAATACCATATTATTTCACTTATATGTGGAATCTAAAGAACAATATAAACAAACAATAAAAATAGAAACAGACCCTTATATACAGAGAACAGGCTGATGGTTGCCAGAGGGAAGGAGGGTTGAGGGGCTGGGTGAAAAAGGTAAAGGGATTGAGAAGTACAAATTGCAGTTACAAAATAGTCATGGGGATGTAAAGTACAGCACAGGAAATATAGCCAATAATATTGTAATAACTATGTATTGTGCCAGATGGGTACTGGAAATATCAGAGGGAAAACTTTGTTAAGTATATATGACACCACTATGCTGACACCTGAAACTAATATAAAGTAATACTCAATGTAAACTGTAATTGAAAAAATAAAAAATAAAATAAATAAATTGTAAGATTTTAAAGGCAAGAATGATGTCATATTCTTTACAATGACAAACATATAAGGGTAGCTATAAGAGTAATTTGTTTATTTCAGTTCAAGTCGTTTCCTATTTGAGAATCCTTCCTATGCTTGGAAAATTCCTCATCTCTACTCTAGGGAACTCCAACACCCAAATGAGAATCTGCAACACTGCCTTCACTTTATCCATAAGCTAAAATTCTGATGATAGTCAGTGGTCATAGGAACAATTTATCTAATCTTTTGAAAACAAGATCTAACATCTGACTTACTTTCCCAAGCCATTTACTAAATATGTGAACGTCACATGAAGCAATATAGTAGCTGTTCTGCAACCAATTTAAAATTATTGCAATTATTTGTGAATTAACAGAAGACTGATTTTTAAAAGTTTACCTTTATTGTTGAAAGTATTACCGATGTTCCTTCCTCCCCACTGATCCCCTCCATTCCACATCTCCCACCACCACCCCCGCCCCAAGCCTTCCCTACACTATTGTCTGTCCATGGGTTATGCACATATGCATATACGTTCTTTGGTTCATCCCTCCCTACCCAATCCACCACCCCCACCTTCCCTCTGAGGTTTATCAGTCTGTTCCATGATTCTATGTCTCTGGATCTATTTTGTTCATCAGGTTTTTTTCTCTCATTATATTCTACATATGAGTGAGATCATGTGATACCTGTCTTTCTCTGACTGGCTTATTTCACTTAACATAATACTCTCCAGGTCCATGCTGCCCCACAGTAACTTTTTGATATCAACCATTACATGACAGAATTTTAAAAGTAGAAGAAAATTCAGGAGCTCATCCTATCTTCCCTCAGGTGTTAGTAAACATGACTACATATACACTTTCTGACTTAGTATATTAGGAGATGGAACTTTTATAGCCCCTTCTGGTGACATCAGTAGGGATGTTGATATCTTCATTATTTTTAACCAAAACATTGTAAGTTAAGAGCCCATCCCCTTTTATAACACAGCAATGGAAACAAGAAGGCTAATCTTTATTTCTTGTAAACTCTTCACCTATTTTGAAGACATTCTTAGAGCCACTACTGGCCTTCCTTTGGTCTTTTTCTTTCAACTTTCCTACCTTTAAATTTTGTTCCTCTTTTACTAAAAAAATTATATATCTTTACATTTAAATAATCCTCTTTTACATATGTGCAAAATATGTATGTATTCCTCTTTTAAAAAGAACCCCAATCTTTGCAGAAATTGACAAGCTGATCCTAAAACTCATATGAAAATTCAAAAGGCACAGAATAGCCAAAACAATCTTGAAAAAGAAGAACAAAGTTGGAATATTTACACTCCAATGTATACACTTACTACAAAGCTACAGTAATCAAAAACTGTGTAGCACTGGCCTAAGGACAGACATGTAGACAAATGGAACAGAATTGAGAGTCAAGAAATAAACCCACCCATCAATGGCCAACTAATTTTTGAAAATGTGAGAAGAATATTCTCTTTAGCAGATGGGGCTGGGACAACTGGATATCCACATGCAAAAGGGTAAGATTGAACCAGTTCCTCAACCATATACAAAAATTAATTCAAAATGGATCAAAGACCTAAATGTAAAGGCTGGACTATAAAATTCCCAGGTAGGTATAAATCTTCATACCTTAGAGTAGTAAAAGCCTTTTTAGATACAACACCAAAACATAAGCAACAAAAGGAAAAATAGTTAAATCAGACCTCATCAAAATTAAAAATTTTTCAGTTTCCAAGGACACCATAAAGAAAGTGAAAAGACAAAGAACAGAATGGGAGAGAATATTTGTAAATCACGTATCTGGTAAGGAACTTGCACCTAGAATATGTAAAGAACTCTCAAAGCTCAACAATAAAAAGACAACTCCTGTTTTTCAATTAAAAACAGGAAAAAGATTCTGTATAGACATTTCTCCAAAGATATACACATGGCCAATAAACACATGAAAAATGCTCAACATCATCAGCCATCAGGTGAATGCAAATAAAGACCACAACGAGATGCCACTTCATACCCATTAGAACAGTTATAATCAAAATAACAAGCAAAATGTTGGCTAAGATGTGGAGAAATTGGACGCTTCATACAGTGCCAATGGCAATGCAAAGTGGTACAACTGCTTTGGAAAATAGTCTGGCACGTTCTCAAAAGGTTAAACACACAGTTACCATATGACCCAGCAATTCCACTTCTAAATAAACATACAAGAGAAATGAAGACATATGCCCATACAAAAACTTCTACATGAATATTTCCTAATAGCCAAAACAGGTAAATAACCCACAATCAACTGATGAAAGGATAAATTAATTTGGTGTATCCATAAGATGGAATATTATTCAGCTATATAAAGGAATAAAGTATTGACACATACTACAACATGGATAAACCTTGAAAACATTATGCTAAGTGAGCCCTAGCAAGTCTGGCTCAATAGTTAGAGAGTCAGCCCAAGGGCTGAAGGGTCTCAGGTTCAAATCTGACCAAGGGCACATACACGTAGGGTGCAGGCTCGATCCCAGCCCTGGTCGGGTACGTGCAGGAGGCAACCAATCAATGTTTCTCTCTCCCTTCCACTCTCTTTGAAAAGCAATGGATTTTAAAAAAGCAAAAAAAGAAAAAGAAAAAAAGAAAAGCAATGGAAAAAAATATCCTTGGGTAAGGATTAAAAAACAACATTATGCTAAGTGAAAGTGCACGCACACACACACACACACACAATTCCATTTATATAAAATGTCCAGAATAGGCAAATCTGTAGAAACAGACAGTAGACTAGTGATTGCCTGGAGCTGAGGGGGCTAGGGAGAACTGAATAGTGAGTACAGGCAGTCTTTTGGGCATTATAAAAATGTCCTAAAATTTATTGTGGTGATGGTTGCACAACTCCATATATACATTAAAAACTACTGAATTGTACACTTTAAATGGGTGAATTGCATGGTATGTGAATTTCATCTCAATAAAGCTGTGATATTAAAAAGGAGCCCTGCTTGGCCAGCGTAGCCCATTGGTTGAGCATTGACCTACAATTGAGGAGATCCTGGTTCAATTCCCAGTCAGGGCACATGCCTGGGTTGCGGGATTGATCCCTGGCAGGGGGCATGCAGGCGGCAGCCAATCAAAACTCTCTGATCATTGATGTTTCTATCTCTCTCTCCTGCTCCCTTCCTTTCTCTGAAATCAATAAAAATATATTTAAAAATAAAAAATAAAAAGGAGCCCCAAGTTCAATATAGTATTCTAAGGAAAGCACTAATTTACCTCAAGATCCTTGTTTGATGCAGAGACTTATCCATTTATAATTATTATATTAGATGCTTAAAAACCACCCTTTCTCATACTTTAAAAATAACTTAAAATTTTATGATCAGGATAATACATTAATTTTCTGGTACTTTTCTGTAAATGTTTTTTTTTAAATTCTCTCCCCTGCTTTTTTTTTAAAGTTTTTATTGATTTAAAAAAAAAAACTTTATTGATATAGAGAGGAAGGGAGGAGGAGAGAGAGGAAAACATCAACTGGCTGGCTCCTGCACACCTCCTACTGGAGAGCAAGCCCAAAACCTGGGCATGTGCCTTGACTGGGAATTGAACTGGCAACTTCTGGGTGCATAGGATGATGCTCAACCAACTGAACCACACCAGCCAGGGCATCTCCCCTACCTTCAACAGAAAGAAACTCAGACAAGATGAAAGTTCTGGGAACCTGTAGGACAAAGGGACACTGAAACAGTATAATGAACAAAGTGAATACAGGATTCTGGATATATACATGTCCATTTTCTAAAGCTGCCATATATCTAGTAATGAAAAAATTTAAACAGTTAACTTCAAAATCTATAAGAGATATTTTTTGGATCTATAACAATAATTTTTTTAAATCCTCACCCAAAGATATGTTTTATGGATTTTTTAGAGAAAGAGTATGGGAGAAAGACAGAGTGAGAGAAACATCGATGTGAAAGAGAAACATCGATTGGTTCACGTCCTAACAGGGAATGAACCTGCACAACCTAGGTATGTGCTCTGACCGGGAATCGAACCTGCAACCTTTTTTTGGTGCAAGGGACAGCACTCTAACCAACTGCACCACCCAGCCAAGGCAACAATAATTTTTTTTTTAAAAGACTTATCCCCAAAAGAGGACATCTGTAATACTTTCAACAATAAAGGTAAATTTTAAAAATAAAAAAATAAAAAATAAAAAGACTTACCCCAGATCTGTAAGTGGAGGCTTATCTCTTCCTCTTCTATAGCAAAGGTAAATCTGTGGCCCCACAAGACTTCCATTATTGAGGTCAGCTGACAATCCAGATGGGGTAACATCAATACACATATAATCCTGTGGCACTTCCTCCCCAAGAGATTTAATAATAACTGAAACATCTGTGATAGGTTCTTTTGGTTTAGCTACTTTATGACAGGCATCATTGAAATGAATTTCTTCTTCAAGAGGTTTTGAAACATCAGTTAATCCTGCTACAACAAAGTAGTCAGCAACACGAGGCCCTTTATCTTCAATCATCTTCCATTCCAGAAGGTTACATCTAAAAGGAAAGTAAAAGACTATTATTTTCCTATAATAAACCAAATAAATATAAGTGGTTTGTGTGCAAATAAAAACAAAACAAAAACTACAAAAAGAGCACTACTGCCTTGATAAACACACTAGTATACATTTCACTTTCTTACATAAAAAGTATGCATTTTTTAAAAATGAGAATATAGTTAGCATTATTTATGATTATAAAATATGAGAATTTCCATTTTTGGCAATATGGATGCCTAGGTTACCTAAGTAGGCAGAAAATAAAACCCTCATATCCTTTTAAATGCTTAGATTAACATGTAAAAATGTAAGGGAAATTCCCGGGGCCCCAAAACAGTGAGGAAACCGAAGGCCAGAATGCAGTATATAAAGCTGATACTGGGTGGGGGAAGTTTGCTGACCTCTTCAGTAATCAAGGGGTTTGTGTTTTAAAAGGTATCACAGAGCCTAGCTGCCATGAGTCAGCAGTTGAGCATTGACCTATGGTCCAGGACATCCCGGTTCGATTCCCCGTCAGGGCACATGCCTGGGTTGCGGGCTTGATCCCTAGTGGGAGGTGTGCAGGAGGCAACTGATCAATGACTCTCTCATCATGGATGTTTCCATCTCTCTCCCTCTCCCTTCCATTATACTTTTTAAAAGTTAAAAAAAAAAAGGTGTCATTGAGACAGAAGACCCTGAGATCATATAAGACAGGGAGTTGGAACTGAGACACCTGTAAAAAGTCAAGAACCTCAAAGGACTATATCCCAGTTAAAGAGTGAATTTTAAAAATCCATCTACTGGTATGGGGAGATAATAAAGTTTGCCTCAATCTGGGCCCTGCTCTGGAGGGTAAAAAGTCTCAGTGAATGTATAACAATAGGCCTGCTCACACTTGGATTTGAGGTTTGACCTTAAGCCATGGTCCCAGGAAGCTCCAAACTGAGATATTAACAATAACTGTGTTCCCAGGCTAGTGATACCCCTGGGGAAGCAAATGCAAAACAGTTCTAGAGGGTACACCCTCAACCCAGGTTTTACACAGATAAAGCCCAACTGAACATGACCTCTTATTCCAAAACTACAAAAACACACAAAAAGAAAATCCACTTTGAATGAGTCTCAGCAGATACAACAAACAGAACTTCAAACAAAAATAAGGCAGAGATTGTAACAGGAATGCATCCTAATAACAAATTCAAAGAAAAAGTACACAGTAGAATCCATCATGTATTTGTAAACACTTTAACAGGAAAATTTCCTTCAGTTGTCTAGTATCAATTAAACATTATGTGTCTCTTTAACTAGGAGATTACGCCCCCACATTACTGTCATTACTTACATAACAGTTACAGGAAAAAAGTTTAATCTAAAACAAAAAAGTCCCAACACATGTCTCACGTCAGACTTAGTTCCAATAAATGCAAACAAAGGATACTGCGGACAAATAAATTAGGTATATATACTACATGCCTCTTTTGTATACTTATCATATGTAAAAATATTAAAGCCTTGGCAGTCGTTTGATAAAGGTACTTGATTACCTTCGTTTAACCCAGGATGCCCCAAGTCTATTTGAACAATGAACCCTATTTTCTCATTTAAAAACTAGAAAAAATTCTTAGAACATGCTTTAGAAAATACTAGTTTAAAATAAACAACCTTCTTTTATAGAGTACAAAATACCCAAGGGCAAAGAAATTCTATGTAGCACACTTGTTTATGATATAAGTACCACCACACTTATCATAATCCCAAAACTCATTTAATTTTCAGTATTCCTAACGTCATGAGATATTAACACTACTCCCCTGTTTGTTTAAGAAACAAGCCTAGCCCGGCTGGGCGTGGCTCAGTGGTTGAGTGTCGAACTGGGATCCAGGCGATCAGGGTTCGATTCCCGGTCAGGGCACATGCCGGGTTGCGGGCTCGATCAATGACTCTCTCATCATTGATGTTTCTATCTGTCTCTCCCTCTCCTTTCCTCTCTCTGAAATCAATAAAGATGTATTTAAAAAAAAAAAAAAAAGAAGCCTAAAGGAGGGTCAAATATTCCTCCTTGTTTTATTTAGATACACATGGCTCCTATACAACAATTCCCTTACACGTAAGATTTTTGCACAAGATAATGGGCTTAAATAAACTTCTCAGGAATGCCTCCTAGACGAACAGTAAAGAGAAGGTAAAAACCCGTTCCTCTGAGAAGACTGTTAAACTTCGAATAGTCACTCTCAGCTGACTGCATAAAACAGGTACTCCACAAGAAACAACCAGTGTTACCCAGTTAACCATCTATTCATTCTCAAAAAGTAGGAGAACAGCAGCACTATTTTTTCTTCATTTCATTAAATAGTCTTTGAAGTAATTTTTAATGGCTGCATAGTAGTTTATTTTATGAACATAACCTTATCGATCTATTTCCTAATTGTCGATCATTTCTACTTCTACTTATTTTGCTAATATTTTTTAAATGCTATTATAAATAAACTTGAACATAAACCTCTAGCTACAACTCTTATTTCTTTAAGATAAATTTACAGTAAAACCTCGATATAATGGACTAATTTGGGTGAGGAGGTGTCCATTAAATCCGACAGACAGTTATATGATAAGTATGTTTTCTGAATGAGCATGTTAAAAAATTGACAAACTTTCCTGTTTTTACTTATGTAAACACGTTTGTGTAATTAAGTATGCATGAAAAGTTTAATTTCACAGAAAAGTTTTCTATATGTACTGCTATAATTTTTAATTTATACTGAATAAGTCTAGTAAATGGGTACAATCATCAGACACGGAGTGTAAACAAATGCACACAGCTGGGGCGTGGCATAGTTCACGTGGGAACATCGGCACTCCTTGAAACTGCTGTAAAAAGTCAGGCCACAGGACAAAAGAACCAATTACCTCGTATGAAGTGGTGCTAATCATTCTCGGAACATTGTTTATGAGTGGTTACTCTTGGATTTAAATATGTAGACTATAGATGTCTATATATTTATGCTGTCAAAATTACTATAGTGTTTTTTCTAACATATGGCCTATTGACTAAAATTTGTTAAAAATAACAGTGAATTAATAACAAAAAATAACCTCTTAATTATAAGCAACTCTTGGTTAAAAGCAATTTAAAATGAACAGGGTGTTAATTTTCACATATGGACAAGAAATTTTGTCCGTTAAATCCAAAGTCCATTAAATCGAGGTCTGCAAAATCAAGGGTTTACTGTATTGAAGTTGAAATGCTAGGTCAAAAGTTACATAACCAGCCTCTATAAGTATTTATGTGCTTTTATGTGTCCATGAATTTTAAATGATAAGCTTTTAGTAGACACTATTCTTAAAAATTACCTTGGTAGAAAGAGCACTTTCCTCTCTTCATAATGAAAGAAGTTCAAATATTTTCCTTTTTCCTAGACTCTTGCTTCATGTTATTTAAACTAAAGCATATAGTCACTATGGCATATAATAGTTTTAAGTCTTGCTATGCAGAAGGGGAAAGAGAATGGAAAGAGTATTATCATGAAAACATATATATATATTTAATAAGGTCTTTTGAAAGCTACTATTTTAGCCATTAAAACAATAGCTATTATACTAATAAGCAGATATTTGGGAGAACTTTGTATGAAAAATTTGTTTTTGTTAGATCTTCCTGGTTCACACATTTTAGTAACTTGTTTTCATTCATATTTGAATACAGTAAATAACTACTAAAAAGGAACAAGTTGTTTGTTCATCAAGACATAAGAACAATTAATTTTAAAGTGGTGATAAAATCCTCTTACATTTATTAACAGAAAAGTAAATTATATATCACTCAGTTCTCTTGCCTTGTTGTTGCTATTGTTATTATCCATTTATTCATTTGGGGGTGGAGAGTGGTTAGAAAAGAAGGCAAAATATTTTAAGGCATGGTTGACAAAGTATATAATGCCAAGAACATAGCTGGCCAATTTCCAGGTGACTTTTTTTTTTAATATATATTTATTGATTTCAGAGAGAGGAAAGGAGAGGGAGAGAGAGGTAGAAACATCAACAATGAGAAGGTCATTGATTGAGCCCACAGCCCGGGCATGTGCCCTGACCTGGAATCGAACCACGATCGCCTGGATCCTAGGTCAATGCTTAACCGCTGAGCCATGCCCGGCTGGACTCATGTGACTTCTTAAAAGATCTAAATGCTTTTTAATTGATTTGGGAAGTCTATAATACTGAAAATGCACCTCTACTTTTTATTTTTATTATTTATTTGTTTTTAAAAAACATATCTTTATTGATTTCAGAGAGAGGAAAGGAGAGGGAGAGAGAGAGATGGAAACATCAATGATGAGAAAGTCATTGGGATGGAGCCCACAACCTGGGCATGTGCCCTGACCGGGAATCAAATCCTGATCACCTGGATCCTAGGTTGATGCTCAACCGCTGAGCCATGCCCAGCCAGGCTACTTTTTGTTTTAAATCAACTGTTTATACAGTAAATTTGAGATTTAGAAACTAGGAAGAAGACATTGTTAAAAATTACATGGCAAAGGAAATACAAAAAATATTTAATATAGAAATGAATAATATTATTTCCTAATAATTTATTAAGCCAAGAGACTTCCATTGGCATGTGAAATTTATGATCTTTAAGGGAAAATACTAGATAGATATGAGAAAATGCCCTTGTTGGCAAAAGTGACCAGAAGTTACTTGGAAAGAGCGTTTGAGGAAAGCATTCTTAGTCACACACAAAACTTGGTTGGGTTTTTAGTTCAGTACATCAAAGCAAAAACTGTTAAACAATTAGAGATAAAATTTTCTTTCTTTTATTCTTTCTTTTTTTTAGGTAAATTTCTTTAAATTCATTTTGGAAACTGGGGGGTCACCATGCAAAACAAGCATTTGATCCAACAGTTCCCTAAGTATTCACAGTAATATAAAAGCCTGAAACAACTTTACTCAAGCTGAATAATACGTAATACCACATTATTAACCAATTATTGTTTTTAATTCTTCTTTATTCAACAAAATATAGATAACTTAAGGAATTAGGTCATAAAAATGTTTTAGGCATCTTCTTAAAATTTCAGATATCTGCTTAGCTAGTATTTCAAATAAATCTATTTTCTTTGAGAATAGCAAATGAGAAGGATGTGCTCTCTATTCCTTCAAGGTTCATGGGAACTAAATTAAGAAAGCTCTTACCCATTCAGCAACTAATAGAGACTTGTTTCTCTCCCTTTCAAGCTCTGTCCAATCAATTCAGGTTCTTTTTTATTTTTCATATAGTTCCATTAGGTCAGAGTAGTTAAGCATTTGTTACTTAGGCTAACCCTAGGGACAAGAAAAGGCAAGAGTGGAAATCAAAGGTAGCATTTTAAGGATATATGAAAAACAAAAAATCTAAACATGAAAATTTTACCAAATAATACCGTTATTGAAGTGGTCAAATGAGTGAAAGTTTTTCGGATAGACCTGATATACAGCCACAATTTCAAGACACATATAAAAATAGTCTATAACTCAATGGACCATTTCGACTGCTCCTCACTCCAGTTCACTTATATAAGCTAGAAGAAATTTTCTTTTTTTAAAAACATAATTCCACAGATAAGAACTTAATTCAGCTCTTTTCCTACATTATCAAAACTAAACTAAAGACCCCCCAATCTCATCCTTTTTAAACTTTGTCTCTCATTTTTCTTCCAAACAAGGTAATCTATCTACTGTCCTTCAAAAGTAGTTTTGCTCTTTTCCTCTTTCACAAAACACTAAAGCATTTCCTCTTTCTAGTCAACATATGTTCATCATATTTTTCAAAGAATTTAAATATATGTGGATTTCATTTAAACTTTATTAATTGTACAAAAGAGCATAAAGAAATTACACAATCCCATACATAATAAAAAAAGTGGTTTATAGTTGACAATGTTTCCTAGTTTCCTTTGAGAACAGAAAATACCCTTCTTATCCTCAAGCAGTTATAATATAGAATACAAATACTTTATTATTTTATTCATTTAATAAGCATTTTTCTAAAGTGCTATAATATTCATAATTATACTGACTACATAATATTCCATCAAATAGAAATAGTATACACTATAACCAGTACCCCATTTTCCCATTCTCAACTAGTCCCAAAGTATGGTAGATAAGTGCTTAAAAATATTTGTTAAATGAATGAACAATTCATTTTATAATCTTTCTTAAGCATGTCTTTTTTCTTTAATTCAGAATCAATATTCTGAACTTCAATTACCTTAAATACTGTAATTGTTGTTAAATGTAGGATAGACATAGATAAACTAGATGATCTGAGTCAAGTAAACAAAAACCAAAACAATCAGGAACTTAGACAAAATTAGAAATTTATTCAAGAAGTACTTGATTCATTCATTCAATAAAGTTTTCATAAATACTTACTACAATCTCACACTATTCTAGGAGCCAGTGACGATACTGATGAAAGCAACATCCTCTTTCAAGGCATTTCTTATTGAGTTCTACTTTTTCACATCTCTTTCTATACTTTTATTCTACCTCTAGCCATCATTTCTTCTATCTCCCTTCCAGATTCCAAGTGTGTGCTGTCATTATGACCAAAGTTTCTCTACCATTTTCTCTCTAAAGCCTCATATGCACAAACATGATGATCCCTATTTTATCATCCCTTTTCCCCATCTCCTTGAAAACTGGCATTCCCTCAGCATCAGCATTCTCTGGAAATTTTGAAAGGAAAGAAATCTTATTTGTATATCATATTTAAGGGTAGGTTAACTTTCTTTTGAAAAGGTTAAACCCACACAAGGCAAACTTGACTTTTTAAAAGTAAGTTTTATTAACCCAAATTGATGAACTATGTGGAGCAAACTTCTTGAGCAAGGGAGGCTTACTTACTTGTCTCCTAGTCTACTTTGGAAGCACCTCCCTTCTCAAAACCAGTTCCCAAGCAAAACCCAACAACAACAAAATCAAAACATAACTTAATTTGACAACAGCCTTATGAAAGATTAGCAATCCCTGATTTATTTTTTAAAAAGTTAAGGTAGAAATAATAGCCATTTAGAGGGAAAGGGATCTTATTATTAGTCATAGTCCAAGCCTTCATTTCATAGCCAAAGAAACTGAAGCACAAAAGTGGCTTACTTAAGGATACCTAGCTAGTAAGTGGCAGCCTGGGAAAGAACTCAAGTCCTTCAATCCAGTGTTCTTTATATTTGAGGTTGCTACCTCTAATAAGTGGTCATTAATACTGATCAAGGGCACATCTTAAGACATCTTTCTGTAAGTTCTTTGGTGTCGCTTGTTACTCATAATCATTATGTGGGGAATATATGCCAAATTCTGGTTAAGAAATCTGGTAAATTAAACTTTCAGTGTTTAATACAGAAAACAGCTAACAGAAATAAGTCAAAATGAAAAACAAAAACTACTTACACATTACTGAAAGTCTTTCTCTGAAAATGATGCCAGATCTCACCTTGTGAATTCTGCAAGCCTCAGAGTTTGAGAAATACTGTACTGAAAAGAACAAGAATTAAGCTGAAATTAATTCCAATCAAATATTCCCCCTACAATGTCTTAAGGTTCTGTTAACAATGATAATTTTCAAACAAAATGCTTGCATATATTGTTTTCATATGGTTAAAAGCCAATAAGTAAATTTCAAACACCAGCTCTTTCAGAAAACACATTTCAGTCAAGAACAGACACACAAAAACACAGACAGAGCAGATAATGGGAGAAAAACAAGAAAGGAGAGGGGAGAGG